AAGTAATTCCATCTTGACGTGGTCGAAAATAAAAACCATGTACATAGACTTGGGATCCAAGTATAAAAGTTATTTATTCATGGAATAAAGTGCGGTAAAGCACGATACACAAGTAGCGCAAAAATGCTGAGAATGCTGAGTCGAAACCTTTATCGCCATATTGCGACATGTCGACAACACCGAAAAACATGTTTTCCCCGAATTTCATGCCAATCGCCCAAAAAATGCCGAAATTAGGCCATGGCGACGTTTTTCGAAATGATGGCGACAAAGTGGCCACACCCCCTTAATAGGGTGTCACCCTATAGCCGTGAAGAACATGTGTTAAAAATTTCAGGTCGCTGCGACGAACCGTTCTCGAGTTTTAGTGCTCACGGACAGACAGAGACAGACAGACAGACAGACGGACGGACGGACGGACAGACTAACTAACCGATCGCATAAAGTAGCTTGCGCTACATAATAATGAGATGTAAATACAAGATGTATCTTATCTGAGAAATTACTCTTTTACCCAATGGCATTCTCACTCTACCCCAATACATGATTTATTGTGTGGTACAAGCCCACCTACTTATGTTGAGCAAATTATGTCAGACTAATAAGTACAAAATAATTTTCTTACACGTGTCCAAGCTTATGAGCTAAAACGCGGACTCCGAAAAAACTAGCGTGAAGATCCTGGCTGACAATTCCCTTATTGCCACAAACCAGTATACGCATTTCCAAGCGTTGACCCAGTTATTTCTCCGGTCATTAAAACGACGACGTCACAAGGAAAAAAGGGAAGAAAGGTGTTGATGTACCTGTCTAAATTTAATTATTACAACGGTTTAGACAATAATTATTTCAATGCATATTAATAAACGGTTTCCACTATTTTTGAATCTAACGACGCACGAACACGATACAGCTTAAAATCAGAAAAGACTACTTAAGAAATCTCGTTTATTTTTTTACATACTAAACTCCTGCAAGACGCCGGCCATCGCCAGTGTTTCTGCTGTTAAAAAACACCTGCACAAAATTAGTGCATAAAAATGTTTTTATGCGTTTAATAACACCCACCAAAAATCCGGAAAAGTGCACAAAATGCACAAAAATGCACAAAAATAATTTAGCTGATTACCATGCAGCAACGCTGAATATTTAAGATAATGGACGAATGCTAAGCTATTTTACGATGTTTTTCAACAATATTAGCACTGTAAAACAATTTTCTAATATTTGGAATTTAAAAATACTTTTCGTAATTTCCGACTTGATAAAATTTTGATTGTTAGAAAATGACAATGCTCAATTATTGTTGAGCGTATATAAAAGTGAAATGTGAAATTAGCGGCATTCTGCCTCGATATTTATTTTTATGCATTTTTGTGCATTTTTGTGCATTTTATGCATTTTTGTGCATTTTATGCACTATGCATGCACAAAAATAATTTTGTGCGCACAAAAAGAAACACTGGCCATCGCTAATCCACCGGGCAGTTTGCGTTGTTCTATATAGCCTTGAGACGCCGTGTTCTAGGAACAAGAATATGTTATTTCATTAAAATCTATAACTTCAGGAAGGCAAAACTAATTAAATACTTACACGTGTGTTCAAGAGACTCACCACCTGGAATGGAGTGTTGGATCGTCATTTGTGGCAAAAATATTCCTCACTGACTTCACATAAAGTGCCAGATACTCTATAATTCTTGTAGGATCGCCATTGAACAATTGTTGCATAGCAAAATCGATAACAAAATAGAGTTCTACTGTCCCAACAGCCTGGATTCCGATGCGGGATTTCCCGGTGACCAGCTCAGCCAAACTCTTCCTCCCGTCCCGAGGGAATTGGGAGCGTCCAATTCTAGACATTACTTTGTCCCAGTTCGAATTGAGAGCCTCAAACCCTGAGGATACTTAATATTAGTTTTAAGAGTGGGTACAATAAATAATTCCAATTCAAGAAAAGTTTCCTTAGCAAAATCTCATCAAAATCAACGACAATTGAACAGAATCTGCACTTCTACGTCGCCTCTTTCATAACCGGTGACCTCCTCTTCAGGTTAGTAAGGTCAACCCAGGTCAAAACCTCTGAAAAAATGAGATTCCTCCCGTAACCATGGCTACAAAGGCATGTTTTGTTAGCAGGTGGTGGTAACAAAACAGTTTATAAAACCTATAAAAATACCAGTGTCGACTCACAAAAGGTGTCCTGGGGGGCCTGACTTGCTGTGGAGGTGCTGGGAATTAATTCAATGTCGCAGGAGTCGAAATAGTTGGGCGATGGATCTCAATGTGCCCCCTTCGCCACAAGGCCCCATGTCCCCCCATTATTTCGACTCTATCCACCTTTAATTAACTTCCCAGCGCCCCCACATCAAGTCAGGCCCCCCTGGACACCTTATCTGAGCCGAGACTGACATAAGAAGCTGTCAATTATTATTTTTATAGATTTTACAAACTGTTTTGTTACCACGGGCTGCTAACAACGTGTCCGAGGTTGTCTAAGTTTCTAGAAAAAGTGAAACCCCTTTTTCACCTACAATTACACTTAATCTATTTCGACTTCAAGCAAAATAAATTTATAAAAAAGACCAATACTAATTGCAGGAGGATAAAAAACACTACATGTTTTGCCATCCTTGGAGCAATTTGCTTAAATGGTTTCTACTCGATATTATTCACCAAGCCGGGAATATTTTAAACGTCTTTCATTTTATTTGTCTTACTTAGTTTCCCCCTATCCCTCGTAATATTTTCCCCAATACTTATCCACCCTGATCCTTTTGTATCTTTACTGAACGGAAGACAAAAATTTATGTTGGAAAATATCCATGGAAACTTTCTGAATAAATTAATAATTTTGGTAGAAGAACCACCAAAATTTTCGAACCTGATAAATACTTTCTAAATATTTACAGATCCTCCGGCAAATCTAGTTGCAAAGTGGAAATTAATATCCAAATTGTCCAACATATTATCCCAGGTTCTACGGGTAGGAGCCCCAAGTGCGTTAGTACTACTCATGTGCTTCGAAATGGGACTGAAGCCGTTTTTGGGATCTGGATGGAAGGATTCATCATTTTTATTAAGCAAAGTTGGCCTCGTGCTTATACTTGTGGTGCAAACGTGGGAAATATTTTGCTTGGCAGAGTCGATGGCCTACTTCATATTCGTGGTCCTTTGTGACTCGCTGCATTGTGTTGTTGAACATCTTTGTTATCTAAGGAGGTAAAGGTTTTACTTGTATATATGTAACTTTGTAATTAACCCGTTGAGGACCAAGGGCACACATTTGTGTACTTTTTTGCTTCCGTTAAGAACCAAGTACACATATTTTTGTATTTTTAAATTTTTCGATAACAACCAGAAACTAAGGAAATAATTGAAAATCTTCATTGCAAAAAGTGGAAATCTTCATTGTGAAAAGTGGAATTTTTGTACACTTTTTCTGCAAAAAATTTGAACTTTTCCTATACCAACGCCATGTAAAAAAGTGGAATTTTGGATTTTTCGAGTTTCCATTGACTTTTTCAAATTTTTTTGATTTGGCATCTGAATTAAGATGGTAGCTAAGGAATTTTGAAGTCCTTTTTGTGGGAGCAAAGGGGTCAATGCCAACGGGATTATATCAAAGTAAAAAAAATTGTTACGTGCATAAAATGATCTGACGACAAAGCCACCGATCTTGATGCCCTTTGGATATGTCGTAGTACTAGGTGAGTCTAGCACAAGTGTGGAAGGATTTCATTCCATGGCCCCATTTGCGCCCGCCACACCCACTCAAAAGTGCGGAAAACACGAAAAATACCCTTTTTGGTTCATTCAAAAATTCAACAAAAATCCAATTTTGCTCGGATTTTCAAAAAAAAACATATTCTTGATCCCAGATAGTTGCTTTATCATATCCAATATCAAACTCAACTTTTTTGAAATTTTGATTTTTTCCAAATCATACCTCTGCCATGAAATTTTTAAAAATATTGAAAAAATTAAAAAAGTTGAGTTTGATATTGGATATGATAAAGTAACTATCTGAGATCACGAATCTGTAATTTTTTTGAAAATCCTATCAAAATTGGATTTTTGGCGAAGGTTTTAGTGCGGCTAGTTTAGCATGGGGCGCTCCTTCAAGGGGGTGTGGCGGGCGCAAATGGGGCCATGGAATGAAATCCTTCCACACTTGTGCTAGACTCACCTAGTACTACGACATATCCAAAGGGCAGCAAGATCGGTAACTTTGTCGGTGATGGGTTGTCCTCCTTAGATCAATAACTATAAGAGAAGGTACAATTATGGCTGCCACTGTCAATAACCAGCACAGGTACTACAGAGGAAAGGGAGTAATTATTGAAATCCTCCATCTCATGTAAATAATGGATGTATGCAACCTATTTATCAGTTCTTCATACATTATTTTTTACGTGACACAAATCAAGAGGAATCTAACAATCCCCTACAACCTACAATGCCCCTAAAATTTAATCATCTGTATTTCAGATCCGATGGCCCATTCTGTGGGGCATGGTTAACCTTGGCGTTACAGATTTACAAGCAGTTGGACATTTTGGTGGCGCAAATTAACCTCTGTAAACCCGCGTTGGTTGTGGCAGCTGTCGTAGCAAACGTTTTGGGAATGTGTTTAACTATTTTATCAGGCGCTAGATTACTTGATCACATTGGAAATCTATTCTTTCCTTTGGCCACCACTTTCTTGACTGTGTTTACGATTGTGTTTGGCACGTTTGCTGGCTTTGTGAATAATTGGTCGACGAAATGTATATCGAAATTTCAGAAAAAATGTGGGAGGTGTGACAAAATGGAAAGGCACGAATTGAGAAGGGTTATCAGGTCTTGTACAATGATGAAGATCAGATTCGGGAATAATTTCATGGCAATTTCGACTCCACTGGTTATCTTGGGTTTCGTCGCAAAGAACACGGTTCGCCTGTTGTTACTGCAGGAAACTTAAGCCATTCCAATGCGGACTAAAGGTTCAAACTGTTCCGTGTAATGTGTACAATTAAATCCAACCGAAATTGTACGAATATGTTTATTAAGTGTAATTTTTTACAATTGGTACTTCAAGTACCGTACTTTTATGTTGCATAATACAGTGAAAGACAAAGAGCTATGATAAAATATAAAGGAAGGGTTGCAAATAGGTAAAAGAATCTACACGGTAATGTAGTTGGATATCGTCATTACGGTGAATATTACATATTATACTTTAGTATGACAACTTTGAGCCCAAATATTTAGACCATCGCACAAACTGCCTGAGCAAATGCTATATGTATTCACTTGGTCTGGATATCGTCGCTGTTCGTGCAAAAGTTGTCGGATCAACAAAACAAGTTTGAAACAATTTTTGGGGGAAGTGAGACTTCATAAGTATAACATGGTATCACACTTTTCCCGCATTTTCATTCGACAACTTTTGTTTCCACCTGGTTTTTGATCCGACAACTTTTGCACGAACAGCGACGATATGTAATTCCAATATTTAAACCAAATCGGAGAGTTACACTTCACACCATCGCATTGTTAGGACAGCAGAACAGGTCGAATCCGATTGTCAATATTTGCTCAGGAAGTAAGAACTCTAAAATGAGATCAGTGCGGGACGAAAAGCATTACTTTTTTAGTCAAATTTTCAAATTTTCAAAATATTTTTAATCTTTCTTAAAATTGCTAGGGTTTAAGCCTTATAATTTATATGTAGGTAGGTGATATTTTTACCATTTTAAGTAGTAGAAATATTGATTTTGTCATAATTTAATTTGACAAGATTTCACTCAGAAAGGGTGTGTTCCAATTTTCTAAGAAAAATTAACTATTGGTACTATTAAAAATTAGGCGTGTAAATACATTGGATAGTTATGTAGGTAACTGTATAGCTAACAACAAGTCCTTAGTCTAACCTATCCTTAAAAACGACCTTGAAAACTTGCGGGGTCAAGATGAATCCTGCCGACGGCTTTAACCCTGGATTAGCTTTGGCATCGTTGGGATCAAACTTGATCTCGAACCTTTGGCAGATGTTGGACGTGTAGAGGAAGAGCGTGTCCCTCGCCAACGTTTCGCCGGCGCATTGCCTCCTCCTCGTCGAAAAAGGGATCAGGGCTTCGTGTTTCTGGAACTTTGCTCCATCCGGACTAAGAAATCGTTCGGGTCGAAAGTTCATCGGGTCACCCCAGATCTTTTCGCTGTAGTGGATCCCGCACTGGTTTGCCATGATGGCTGTCCCCTTGGGGAAGGCGTATCCTTTGTACGTCGTGTCGGCCAGGGCTCGATGCGGTACTCCGACCGGTGCGGCGGATGTGAAACGGTGCACCTCGGCGAGAAAGGATTCCACGTAGGGAAGGCTGGAAAGTTTTTTTTTAAAGATTAATCTGGATTTTTTATAGGAAATTTTAATAACATTTTTGCATGTTGGAATGTAACGTAAACTCCTAAAAGTGTTACCTTTTGATAAATAATTACCCTTACGATCCTAACCTAACTAACTAAATTAAATTAAATCCCGAGTAAACCTTACTCATTATCAAGACAATTTTACTTTGGATTTTATTTACATTGTTCAATAAATCAATTAAGACCGGATTTACATTTAAAAATGGTCACATTATTTTTAAGAGTGTATTTCCTAACATCAGTAATTCATATTGAGAAACAAGTATTTCTCGAGGTATTTAAAAGAGATTTTGAACAAAAAGTCCTCTTTTTGATGTGAAAAATACACTCTAAGCAACTTGGTAATAAAAGAAACAAGCGGAGTAGATATATGACTCCACCGTGACGGAATTAAAAATTTACACCATGTTGGTATAGATTTAGTAATAAAATAACACTGGTAATAATTTAAACACTAATTTGTGGTACAGTGGAATCCGGTTAGAGTGAATTTCAAGGGACCTAATGAATCTGTTAACTGTATCAGGAATTCATTGTAGCCGAATTTAGCGAAAAGAATTTAAAAAAATTGTGTTTGGTATGTACAAGTATATTAACATATTCAGGCAGACAATGTGCCACATGCACATTTTAACTTCTCGCAAATTAATTTCCTACTTTTTGATCAAGTTTATTGACAATTTATATGATAATGAAAGCTGGGCACGAATAATTCTTGACATTTTAATTATTTAATATGAATGATTTTAAAGAATTGGATCAGTTTTTGGAGGCAGGCAAAAAACACGTAGGTAAAAAACGATCCAACGTTCGGTAATTTGGAGACAAATTCATTATAACCGGAGTATTTGCACGTGGGGAAGCTCAATTCGGTTTACTGTAACCGAAATTTCACACTATCCGGATTCACTATAACCAGACTATTTAGCATTGAAGAGCATAGGGAAATTCAAGGGAACCGAGAGCCCATTCATTAAAGCCGGTAGTTCACTTTAGCCGGATTCGCTATAAACGGATTCCACTGTATTTTTTTTACCATACAGTATTGTTTTAATACCAAATCATTACTATCGCGGTAGAGTCATATATGCACTCCGCGCAGTAATCATTCATTAAAATTTTGTTTAGAGTGTAGTTAAAATTTCTTTACATTGGGACTGGGAAATTAGAAAATAAACTAATATTTATAGGTAGCAGTTTTAGTTTAAAATATGGAAATTCTTACTTTGGTCTATCCGATAAACTGCACTGTCTCGAATTTCCCACGACACGGTCCACCTCGTCCTGCAATTTTTTCTGCACGTCTGGAAACGTAGCCAAGTAGAGGAAAATCCAGGTCAGCGTGATTGACGAAGATTGTGATCCAGCATCAAACAGGTCTTTGATTACTGCAATTAGCTGGCGGTCTGTTAAAAAATAAATTCAAGTCTTAAAACCCTAGTTTTTGTTGGGCACAAAATTCCTAACAACTTACATCCGACCTGCTTAAAAAACGGGGAATCTTCATCTTTACAGGAGGCTATTTCTCTTAAGAAGACATCGATAAAGTCCCTGCATACATAAATTATTATTTTGTTATTAAAATGCTAATTTTGAAAATAAAAATTCTTCACTCCAAAAAATTTTTTCACCTCGGACTATCCTCCGAGTAAGTTTCCTTGTGTTCACTCATAACTGTGGAGAACATTAGTTTAATTCTATCCAAGTGGTTTCTCCACATTTCGACCCCCTTAAATCCGACATATTTCAACCACGGCATCATAATCCCAGGCCCGGCTTTCTTCCCGAGTTCTTCCATAGTTCTGAAAAATTCACGCAATAACTTATAATTAAAATCCAATTATTACAAAACCTAGATAATTTATTGACCCGATTATTAAATGTCTAAGTAAATCATTTGAAAATGCTTAGACTCCAACCATGCCTTAGTTCAAGTGTTTGCTGTCGGTTTTACTAAAACTATGTACATAATGCGGCACTTATAACCGTCCGGTGACAAATTGTCTCAAAGGTGTTCCACACTTATAATTAGCCGTATGAAAATGTTGGTTGTCCATGGTATTGCAGAATTTTTCAAAAATAGTCTACACAATCATTTATTTGCAGAAAATTTCTGAAATGTCTATTCTGCAGAACCGTTTGAGCAAAACCCTGCATAGTCTTTACACACATATTGTCCTGCACTCATACAGTATTTTTGCAGAAAATAACGGCAAATTTCGGCATAAAACTTTTTAAAATTGCATTCGACAATTCAAAATATGCACAGTTTTGAGTCTGACTTACTCCGTGATATCCTTCGTCAATCGTACCACGGCCGGATCCGTGTGCTTGTACCGCTTTCCGGCCACAACCGTCCACAAGGAATTGACCACGGCGATGGCCATCCGCTGCTTGACGTCCGTGATGGGCAGATCCTTCTGGGACTTCATCCACTACAAAATTTCCGTCAGCTCGTCCATGATCAAAACTTCCATCGAGCTCTTGCCAAACCCAAAGTCTCGCAGTTGTCGGAGCGTAAATCGTCTCAGATCCTCCCAATGTCGCCCTTCCGTATTAATCACTCCTGCAAATTTGCAAATCTTTTCATTTAAATTTCGCAAGTTTTAATAGCCCCAATTCAATTTATTTTAAGTGTGGCTCTAAATCAGGATAGTTAGACAATCATAATTTTTGCAAAATGTAGCATTTTTTGCCAATTGTTGCTTTAAACCCATCGTGCTAAAAATGCCTCAATATTTTTTCTGTCAAATGGCATTTTATTCTGGCGACTTTTTTCGACAAAAGCGTTGTCGCCAAAATATTTGAGTTCCAGCTCACCATGCATTTGTCCATTGGTGTAGAGGTCATTGACACCTCGTCCAGGATTCAACCTTCCAGAAAATACTTCTTGGGAAAACATCTCCTTCACCATTTTCAAGTCAGTGACCACGTAAACCCTTACAAACAATAGGTAAATTTATAAACACAAATTTCATCTCATTTTATGCACATAACCTCCTCGAGAAGAGATAATTGCATCCGTTCCTGTTCACAGTCATTCATTTAAATGAATGAATATTGAATAAATATGTATTCATTTTTACACAAGGCTGTATCTATGAAAAATGAATCTATACTTTTATATACTGTTCATATTTTACGGTATGCTTACTACGTGGAAAGCTGGGCAAATTTTATTTAAAATACATATGTAGTGAACAAAGCGGAGTAAACATTTTTCCAAATTTTCCAAGTTAATGCATTTTTAATGAAAAAACGTTTTTTTTTAAAAATATGCATCCTTGCAAGGCAAGATACGAATATATAAATTCATACCTCTGGCTTCCCATGGATGCCGAATAAATGTCTCCGTACTCCTCCGCCCACTTGACAAATGTCATAAAAGGATGTTTCCAATCCAACTGGAAAATATTCCCAACCAGCGGAAGACCTCGGGGACCTGGGCAAATTATTTTTGTTTTTCAATTTTATTAACCGAAAAATAGAATGCAAACATAATATTTAAAAAAAATAATTTACACATCATATGCACTTATTTTACGCCAAAACAATAATGTTAACCTAATTTTAGTGGTATTCACGTCAACGTCTTAAAAGCCGTAAATGTTGATTTCCAACGTATTTTTGCAGGTTTGCCAAGATATGGGATGTGGCGACCAATCCTTCATTTTTTTGCAAACATGTGTCATAGAATGGGATAGATTATCGTCGTGAACTATTTTTTAAAACTCGTCCTTAAGGGAATTTTCATGTCTCGTCTCATTTTCAGTTTATGGATTTCCATGCAAAATAAGTCATGACGCAGGGGACTCCTTAAACACCCAAATTGTGAAGATTTGTTGCAAAACAACTCTTTTTATTTGCGTGGCTACCTCCATTTCCAATTAGAAAAAGTTTCACAGGCTAACTTTCATTCAATAATGCGTATAAAATTAATACTTTCTTTGCTCTCCCATAAAATTTAATTCATAATAATCCTAAATTTATTTTTAAATACCTGGCGCAATAATACCCTCCAACTTCTCCATTTTCTTATCTTGTTTTGTGACCCAGTAGTACAATAGAGCTACAAAAGTAAACAGACCTCCCAACACCGGTAATGATAGCACCATACTCAAAAACACTGATTGTTCTTACAATGTTACAGAAATTGTTCAAATTTACATGCAATTTAGAACATATGACCTAGTATTTGTTTGCAAATTAAATGCAGCGTGGTGGAGACGAGGAACTCGAAGATTTGCACGGTTTCCTTTCCAACAGCGGACTGACAGCGATTTGCTTCGAGTCCATGGATATCTAAACATGCACAGCTTTTTATCCGAGCAGCTATATTTACCAAGCCAGATGAGAATTACGTCTGCCATGCGATGCCGATGCAACACGAGTCGCACGCAAAAAACTGGCCATGAAAATTACTTGGCATTCACTCTGTGAATGCAATGTAAGATTATTTTCTGCCCAGTGACCCACCACCCTCGCGAACTTGTTTATATATGTTCTCCACCTGAGCCCGTACTTTGCCACAGTTTAGACTCAACCACAAAACTCTGCCCTGTGACCTACCTCTTTATTATATCAACCATCTTGTGTGCATTGCATTTTGAGTCAAATCTTTATGCACATTTTATTTTATTTACGGCTTGCTCCAGAATTTACATCTGGGATTTGACAAGTGCATGAAGAGCTTGATGTATTTAATGGGTGAACTTTTTAACAGCTGAATACACGCGATTAAAAATAATGTTTAAGTTAGACAATAACCACGAAAATAAGCACAATCGGCTGCATGCAGATTTTGAACTTATGTCTCAGCTTTCCCTTCACATGCGTAGTAATTCTTCGGTCTACACTGCACGAACTGGTTTTCCATATATTTGCAAATATACGATTCGTCTCTGCAGCAATTCGATGTGGTGTATTATTCAATGATCACTAAATTGGCATTTATAATTGGTCAAAATCCCCTGGCCGTGCACTTAGCCCATATCGCTACGCGACCATGCACCTAAACATCTATGAGCACAATTCCTATAGGATGCTTCAGCAAAAAAAAAATCGCTTCAAATAATATACATACATATTTTCGCCTCGTACAAATTTTTACGAAATATGCATTTTTTACGAACTTTTTTATCTGACAGATTTAAGTACCCTCTAAACAAAAATAACTAACATTTGTCCTAGGTTGAGTAAAAAGAGGATGACAGAACCAGTTGAGTAAAATTTATCCAGCGCCTGGCGTAATTTGACGCAACCGTTGGATACACTTGCCACAACTTGGATGAATTTCACACATCGGTTGGGTATATTTCACTCAACTGGTTGTGTAATCCTGTTTTTACTCAATTTTTGTAAGAGTGTATTTTTCGCATAATTCAGGACATAAGCATTTATGCGCATAGAAATAAGTTCAATTCAGTTAGAGTTTCTCAACGGGTTCGGGTTTTTATCGGGTCGGGTTCGGATTCGGATAGGGTTTCCTTCATCCGATAGTTATCGGGTTCGGATACGGATCGCATTTTCTTCATCCGCTTCTTATCGGGTTCGGATTCGGATTTACCTTCGGATGATCCGAAAACCCGATTCAAAATTGAATAGTAGGATTTAAGTCTCAATATATTTTTTAAACATGTAGAGTTGATTAAAATCAATTATTAATCAACTAATTCAAGTATGATAAAATATGTAGAGCAAATTTTTATTAGCTCTACGTCCTCCAACTCCATGCACACATTACGGAATAGGAATTTTAAATGACTGAGATTTGCGAACTCGGACCCCTCTATCACCCTTTCTTGAGTTATTCATTTTATGAATAACTTAAAACATTAAAACAATAATATGCACAATATTATCCATTCGTGAGGGATATTAGTGGCAAAAAATATGTATGCAGGAGAAGGCTGGTTTCTTATTCTGATTAAAAAACCTCAAAGTGTAAAAATGAAATTCAAACTGTACGTTTGCCATTAATAAAATAATTAGAAAAATAATCAATAATCCAAGGAGTACGCAAGGGAGCTTATATAATTATCCTATACTGATTGGGTTCTTATCGGGTTTTTATCGGGTTTCGGGTTCGGGTTCGGATTCGGATCGTTCCCTAGGCAAATCGGATTATCGGGTTCGGGTACATGTCGGACACGGATACAAGATATCGGGTTCGGGTTCGGGTTCAGATGAAGGATTTCGAACCCGTTGAGAAACACTAAATTCAGTTATGTAAAAAAATATTTTGAAACCATTTGGATGATTCATAAAAGTTATGGAACACACAAAAGTTTTCCAATGGGTGTTAAAAATGGAAAAGTTGCAAATAAAAGCATACATATTCAACAGATACAGCTAATAGATACCCTTGCACGTTCACAAGCTTCATTCGGGTTTACAATACTCCAGTATTTTTTAATTCTTATCTTTAGCCTCATTGAGCAAGAGCTTTACTTTTGTCCTACAGAAATGACAGACTTTTGTGCGCAGCTAACATCAAGTTGACATTTATCTCTATAATGATGGCGGGTGTAACATTGTAACTCCCATTGTGCAATTCTAGTTGCGATAGGTTGGTCGCATGCAAAACATATATATAATTATGCAAGTAATAGTTGTTCGTAAATTCTAGCACATATATATTTGTTCTTAAATATAGGGACAAAAAATGTGCAACCCGTTGCAAGACCCACTATCTACTTGTATTCTTATCCCTTCACCCGCTCCACTATCATCAAGCATCTTCAGTATGGGTTTAATAGGGTCGTGCGGTCACGTATGCAGCGCAGAACTTTCAACCTTTGATGCTTCGTGGCATAACAAAATACCATTTCAAGTCGTCCGTGAACTTGAAATGGAGTTGGGTGCTGCACTAGCTGAATTATGAGCTTGTGGTTACAGTTTCTGATTATAGTTAATTGGTGGACTTACATATTAGTTTTAACTACTCCCGTACATACCGCGACAGTTAAGAAGAAGACCAAAGTCAATTCAGCTACTTACCCGGTTCCTCATCTTAGTTACATACTCTCTCTATTTTCTCATTGCTTGATACACCTAATAAATTTCAAATATTTAGATATTCCATCAACCAGAATACCCCTAGTCTTAGAGAGATACCCGAGCCAGAAATATCTTAAAAAAATTAGGCGCCGACAAAACGACAATTTCCGGTGGAGGTGCGTGTTCCATGGATTTTTGTATCCAAAAATGCCGAGAGGCTCGCCACCTGCACCTTCCAGCCTGTTTAGATTCCACGGATTTTACACCGAATTTTGGACAGGACCAGTCAAGACGGAACGATTTTCTAATCTTTTCCGGCATCGGGACTACTAGGTTTATTTTACAAATAGAAAAGCTGATAGAAATTGGTTACAATTTGCTCAAGGAGTTCACGAGACGCAGGGATGGAGTGGTATGAATTGAATTGTAAAACTTTGATGAATTTAATTTTCGCGCAATATTAGTGTGTTTTTTAAAAGTCAAACTAAACTGTTTTTATAATATATGTAAATAGGTCAATCGCATTCAGCGGTGGTCGTCTTGTCCAAACATAACAAACTTCCAGAGTGGCACATTACCTGCCGTACTTGTCACCGAGCCAAGTTCACGTTCCACCTACAACTAGCTGGGGTTAAATTGACGGATTTATTTATCAAATTAGCCGCCACTATCCATCCCGATAGAATATTTCAAATTATTGATATCTATTCTCAATTGGCGATACCAAACCGTCAGAAAACCACATTCCCAAATTTTCTCATCATTTCGACAAATTCAAACATCGATATCACCACCTTTTCGGCAATCTACCCCAACAACAGCTATGTCTTTCAAGTAATGACATTCATTACGGAGCAATGACTTCAAGGCACGGCGAACAACTAGAATTCAGATAAATGCAGCGACTCACATCCCAATTGTTAGAATGGCTGCCGAATCTCACAGATTCCTTACTTGTGACGGTCTACTTAACCAGGCTGGATCCGGGCCTAGTTTTTATCTTTTAATTTCAACATTCCAGTTCGGGTCATGGTTCGCCTTAGTTATTATGATATTACTAACGGCGGCAGTTTTAAAAATAATTTTCAATTTGACACGCCTTTACCGCAATCCAATTCTCATTTTGATCGCATTTTTGGTCGAGCAAGGAATTGAGGTTACGCCTCAGAAGAGAAAAATGTATGCATCCATATTTCTCTTAGCGCCATGGCTGTTGATGAGTATCGTCATCAGCAATGCGTACAAAGGACAGAACGTGACAGATCTAATATCGCCGCCAAAACCAATTACGGTATCCCAATTTGAGGAAATCCTAGCTCAAAACTACACACTGTATGTGGCCATGCAAAAATATTATGACGACAGGTCTAGGAAGTTTGTGGAATGGGCAGGAACATCCAGGGTCCTTTCCAGGCTACATATTTCAATTGAGGATTATAAAAGCGAAAATCTGTCCAAAGATGAATTAAAGTTTCTGGAAAAACTTGAGTCCAGAATATTTGTGATTAGAGATCGTCACAACCTGACCCTCATAAATGCAATTAGCAGCTGTAATAAGTCCGCAATAGTTCCTTTTGGAAATGCAATAGACGAGTATGAATCCCAGTTGAAATTTTTGCGCCCAAATTCGCATGTTGTGAAAAGTAGGGAAGAATTCTATAAAAAGGAGCGGGGTTGGCTAGTGGGTTACGCGATTGATCCGCAGTTAGAGACCAGGTTTTCGGCCCTATTTCAAGCCGGAATGATAAATCTGTGGCGGAAGTATATTCAATTTTTAAGAATGATTAAGTTTAATAGTGTAAATAGAGCATCGGTGAATGGAAGGGATGATGAGAAAGTGAAACCGTTACAGATTGGTGGTAATTTTTCAGTCGTATTTTACCTTCTCAGCATTCTGATTGTATTTTGTACAGCAGTGTTTTGCTTTGAAAGGATACTGGGGAGGTTTGGAAGAAAAAATGAGGTCATTTTGTTTCCAATGGAGTAAGGATCATGTAAGCATATATCTAAAATACGTATTAAATTCGCAGGGAAGTTGAATTTAGAAAGGTACCACAAAAGAATATTCCCGAAAGTTCCTCTTTAATTATAGCTAAAATTCTATAAGCTTAAACCAACATGTTTCTTTTCGCAAACAGGTTCCAATTCGCGCCTCGCGCGCAAATTATGGCATTCTGTAAACACAAGGTGCTTACTTTTTGTGGGGAACAAAATAAAATTGATCTCAATTAAATCTGAAGTTTGGAAGTATTTGTGTAACCTTGTAAGATTATTTCGTCTGC